ACTCTCGAACCGAATGTGTCATCAACGGTTTTTCTGTTTCTGCTAAAAGTTCTCCTATAATGCGTCGATAGGCACTAGGCGTCCTTTCCATTTGTAGCAAATTGATTAACGTCTAAAGAGAAGCAAGCAAATCCGTATATTACTGTTCATCATGCTGAACGTCATGTTCACCATATATACAACATTGATAGTTGTAAAATTGAAAGTTTCATCGTCGATCGATTGTGTCCGATCGAATATGTATTTACGAGGTTCTTGGTACGATATTGTTTCGTTCTCATAAGTACGCAGATTTGTCTTTGTTCGCACCTCTCTACAATTGTTAGAAATAGAAATAGAAACTTATATATTTTTCTGTATTGATGAATATTGATCACACTTGTATACAAATGGACCACGTTCAACAAGAATTGGTTTGGCTCCATTGAGAAATTCGACTGAGTTTTGAAGGTCAAATACATAGACTGACATGTATATTGATATGGGAGGTGATAGCCAGTTTTTGTACAACAGTGTTCCTTCTCTTAATTGACACTCCTGATCAAATGATATTAGCTAGTAAGAATTTATTCTGAGTAAAATAATCGTACGCACCTTTTTAATAACTCTTTGGACGATTGAATCTCCGTATACAATAAGAAGGACACCAGAAACTAGAAATCCTATGCCGAGAATAGGCAATATAATAGATGCGCGACACATTTGATAATTCGTTATATTGATGCAGAAATAAAAAATAGGGAAAACTTAATCTATAAATACTGTTCATTCAATGTCAATCAGTGCAATTATAAAACGAATTAGAAAGGAAATTACTACTGTGGGACATTCCGACCATAGAATTATAGCGTCTTAAATCATGGAGTCACGAATTGTCGATCCAAAGCTCGTTAGGATTTTGGAACTACTCAGTGTTGGATCCTTAGGACATAGCTGTATTGAGTTTTTGCACAAGATTACTTTTAAGCCGACTTCAACTGTATAACAGGAAAATTTCATCAGAGGGCCTTGGCTCACTCTCCACAGACTGTAGAAAAGTCGTTGAGATGTTATTTCGGACTTATCTACCATTTGTTTTTCGAATTCGGGATCATGATACTGTTCATTTGAGGCATTTTAGGTTCTGTGCTTTGGATAAGAGTATGAGTTGGTGTTGACGCTTTCATGATCGACATCCACGCCCACATTCACACCCCTTAATCGTCATATCCCTCACTTTGGATATTGTTCACTATTGTCTATGCACCAACTGATAATCGGTCAGCCATATGTAAAAAGTTATAATCAGAGAAACATTGTCGCATAAAAGCGACATTTTATATATTGAAGCAATCACATTTTGAAACTACGCAATTGTAAAAAGTAAAGCATAGGTCAAAATATCTTTACACCAGTGTCGTTATCGGGTATGTTGACTATTTTTACCTTCAGCATCCATGTAGATAGTACTGTTGCATCTAGTAGCTGGTAGAAAAATAAATTGCAGATATAGTGCATTCTTTAAGAACACGAACATCATTTCATGCTCGTAAATGATTCGACAGAGAAAAATTATAGGAAAAATACAAGTAATTTTTCTTATTCAGAACCTTGAATCTTTTCAGTATCTGCAGCTATCTTGAAATACTTTGATACATAAGCAACAGAGGGCACCACTTCTGCGTTGGTTTCGTATTTATTCTCAAAATATGCCAAGAAATCTAAAAGAGTAAGAAAACTATTTTCCAGATTCAGAACAAAAAAAAAACAGCTCAATTTTCTGTATGATTTCTATCTAATCAAATTTGCTTTCGAAGAATGTGTATCTTCACAATGGGCATGGTACGATAGATGGGTGTGGTTGGATGAGTGGAGTTGTCATCTATTCATTCACTCAATCGCTCATTCACTTAACAAACAACCTATCAACCAACTCTTCCTCACACTTACCCTTTCTACCATCTTGAGGGTGAATCAGAGCTGCCATGATCCGAATTTTCGTCCCGCTCAAAGGACTGATCAGATGATTTGACTTTCAATCTTCTCCATTGCTAGAGATATTCGCATTTTGTGTGAGAGGATAAGAGTTATCAAGACATGTTTCGATCCTGCTCAGGATGTCTCATCAAATGGTTTTTGACTTAGAGTTGCCATAATCGGTTACCGTTTATTTTTCGTCCAGATTTACACAAAAAATAATGTCAATAGACCAGAAGGTGTGGGTCTAGCTCTGACTAAGAATCCAGCGGAGACTGACATTCACACCCACACCCACCCACATATCCACACCCACACCCCACACCCACACCCCACACCAACAGCCACACCTACCCACACACCCACACCCACACCCACACCCTCATATGACCATCTTCCGAAACAGCTTTTATGTTTATCCAGAAGTCATCACAGTATGTAATTAGATCATTATCTACAACAACAACTATCATAAACACTGTTTTTCTCAAGTAAACGTTTCAATGTTTTCATGTATCAAAGACAACAAATTAGTTTAAACACGTTAAAACTCGTTAAAAAACAGAAACTAATGAGTTGATGCTCAACACAGTAAAAGTAGTTCAAGAAAAACAAGCGAAAACGCAATGTTCAAAAAAGTTTGTCGAGTTTTACTGCTTTTAAAATTATAGACGCGTTAAAACTAGTGCAACTCTAAATTGTATCAGTTTGGCGGTGTGTATGACAATTTGACTCGAATATGATCAATCTTTTCGCGTACAAATACAAACCGTTCGATTGTGAGATGGAAATCTCCTTATTCGATCGAGCATAAACTATATTGAAGTCATGAATGAAAAACCAGATGTAAAGAAGCAGTAGTTGAGAAAATGAAGTACAGGCAGAATGTTTTTGTTGAAAGAAAAGTAGGTACCAGCAGAGAAAGAGGTCATCATTCTTTAGATTTGAGGATGTGAGTGTGGATGGGAGTGTGGATCTTCCAATCACTCACATCGACACCCACACCCAGCCTAAAATATAAAAAAAAATAATACACATAGCTAGTAAAATGATATTATATTATGAATCGGCACATATTAATAACCCAGAAAAAGAATATAGGAATGAATACACATTTAACAGTCTTCCTAAAAACAACTATTAGATGTTTTTTTCTTCGCTTCTGCTCTTTTCTTATTGTGGAACTCACATATATTTTCGAAGAAAATTAGTGAATGTAAGTTTTAAGGTCAAGTTTTCGCGGTTCCCCACATTCTCTCCATTACAGACCCCCCCCCCCCCCTAAGAAAAGATAATTATGGAAATGAAAAACAATGAGCGAATAACAACAATAAAAAAGAAAAATAAGAGCACCCGTCAGAAAATATAAAAATTCTTGATTTTACACCTTCTGTACTTCGTATTAATATAATGAAGCCAAGGAACACATTTGAGTTCCACATTTCAACCTCAAAGAGGCTGCGCTAACAAGCTTTTCCTTATTTGTTCTGTCTTGGCAACATGCCTAAAATAGATATATATCTACATGTGTTACTTCTTCTTCTGTTCTTTTATCTTGCTTGATCTCAACATATATTCGTTGTTGTTGATCAAGGACGAAAAAAAATATTATATTTTGACCTTGGCATTGTTTTCTATATTACATAAACACATATTTTTTCGTCTTGAAAGTACAATTGCGTGTTACGTTTTTTTCTTCAATACGTTACCAATTCCATCAAAACATTCTCATATTTTACTATTTTATTCAAGTAAACTATTTTTTCTGAAGAATTAATCTTAAAGGAAATGAAATTATTTTAGACTCCATTATTATATTTCACGATTCAAATGCATACTTAATTTTTCGTACTCGTACATATCAATATACATTTTGTTTTCGTTGTTAAACATGACCACAATCTCAAACAAGATAAATATATCAATTATGTCAAACAGGAAGAAATAATTCAAATAAAATAGGACTTAATACACATAATTCTTTTAAAATAAACATTCGATGTACACAATGAATATGGATTGATGGAATAAAAGTTTTAAACGATATTCGTCAATGGATTATAATTTAAGATTCACTAGAGATAAATATTGGTGGAATAATACAAAGACTTTTTCAGATGAAAAAGAATATGATTATGTCGTTTTTATATATTATTTTTTTCAAGTTTTTTTTTTATTATCGAAAAGACCAGTAATATGTAAACCAGAGGTGTCCATCGTGATTATGAATCTGCAGCTGCCGCGACGCGCTATAGAAAAGATTATTGCCGCTCCGATGGTATTCAAAAAAATATTTTGATTTTCAACACTGTGGCAGGTCTCAACTAGAACTGCTATTGCTAATCGGTCAGATTCGTTAGGTTTTACACTAAAGTATATATGAACGTCGAGACTCTGTGAAAATCCATCACTTTTTTAAGTTTCTTCATGAGAAATCTGCCACTGCCGCACCGCCATGGATGTTCGTGTGGATTACCAGAGAAACGATTCACATTCGCGAATACGTCTACACCCATACTCTTTTTATCCCCAATCGTTCTTTTCACAATACTATTCAATTTGACAAAGCTCAACGTCTCATCCATGAATGAGAGCATAATCAAAATAATGATAATATGTTTTCGATAAAAGAAAACATGGCGATATCAAACAACATATGAAGAAAACTTGCAGACAGTCACAAGTTCTATAGCTTCCACTCACATCCATAATCTAGCTTGTTTTTTCACTAGCTATTTTTATTCTGAACACTCTTTTTTGTCAATTGTTTGAAATGGAAATAATGTTTTTCATAAAAATAAATTCAATTAATCGTAAACTATTGTTTATTACTCAATCATTTATCTTATTATAGTTGCACGAACTTTACATTTTTCAACTGAGAAAACATTTCTTCAATGAGAAATACAGAAAACAGATCTGTGTTAAAATGAATTTTGTGTTATTAATAAGGAAAATTTGGAATTAAGCACATTAATAATATGCATTGCCAGATAATGCAGCCATGTTTTCAAAATATATGTGCGTTCCATTCAATTATATTGTCAACAAATGTTATTTTTAAAATTGATCTTCTTTATCCAAAAGATGTCTCCTGGCCATGTTGTTTCCCATGCTGTCAAATTGAGTTGGTTGCAAAAAGCATCTGTTACAATATATTGACGTTCTGTGAAAAACAATGTCATAAATTCATATCGTTTTCGATGCCATTTTCTAAAACCATGTCCCCATTCCATTATAATGACTTGAATATCAATTAGATCAAAAGTTTTCGATCCAGTTTCGCACATAAAACCCTCTGATCCTTCAATATCAATTTTAATCACAACAGATTGAACTTTTCTTTCGATCAATATCGGCAGCAAGTCATCGAATCGAATTGTTTGCACAACAAATTCACTGGTGATATTCTGTTGTGCAGTTTCACGTAATTCTATTTCAGATGGTGTACTTTTTGACAAGGTTATATATTCTCCAGATTTTGAATATAAAGCATTATGAACGAGAACAACACGATTTTGTACGCGTTGAATTTGAACTGCTCGTGCAATATTTTCAATATTCGGCAGGTAGCAATCAATTATCAATGTGAAACGACCCAGAGCTCCAGCAGTAAACATTGAGTAACCTCCAATATTTGCACCAATATCGATCATGTCTAAGAAAGGATTTCGAATAAGAATATGTAAGATCCATAATAGTCTATCTTCGTCCCATATATGTCCAATTTTAACTTGAGAACTGAGAGCATCTGATTTTGAATGTAGGCAAAGGGTAGTATTATACAAATTTAATAACTGCTTGGTTTTAATGCATGTAATGTTCTCCTTTCTGATCTTATTAGGATCGATTATGTTAACAGTTGGTACTCGAGAAATATTTTTTGATTCAGATTTAATGACTAAATTTTGCTTTGGAATAGTTTGCAAGTAAAAAGTGACTAATAAATAGCAGATGAGAAATAAACATAACCAAAATATCATTTGAAATCGTTGAGTAAGACATTTTAAATTGTGTCGAATGTTATTAAGTATGATTTCTAAAACAAATGATAGTTTTTGTAACATGGAAATGATCCAACATTTCTAAAGCATTCTTTTTGTCAAACTAACGTACGTTTTCGAAGAAAATAAGAAGTGTAAGTTTTAAGTGTTAGCTTTGCCCTCTTGCCACCCCCTCATACTCGAAAAAGAATTTAAACCATCATTATTCGTATTTCTGAATATTAGTTTATTGAGACTAAAAGAGACAAGTGAGTTCCACATTTTAGGCCCTCTGGGTCTGTGCTAACGACTTTTCTCGACAAGCTATAGACTATTTTGATCAAGATCTTTTCAGAATATTAGGTAATTATGTACAGCATTTTCATAGTATATCCAGTAAAGAAAGCTAAATCCGTACAGGCAAAACATAATGTGAAAGAATTTAGAATTCCACCAATAGAAATGTAAAATGACAAGAATTTGAACCATAAGAGAAAGATGATTTTTCCGTTATAATAATGAAAAAGATTCTTTTCAGCAATGATAGAAAAACAAAATACAGCATTCGTGGTAATGGAAAGGATATTTTCATTGACTTATTTTTGTGTCAAAAGCAAGGCTCTCGATAGTTTTTCGAAGTGAGAAAGGCTAAATTTTTTTTGCAGACAGTATTTAAAATTTTTCACAGATATTCCTGAAAAGTCAAATGGGGAAGATGGAAGGGGCGAGGTCAAAAGATTAGGAATTATTTTGAGCAGAGGTGATATAAAAATTTTTCCAATGTCAAAATTGCGCAAAATCCTTTTTGCTCGGAATTTAATTTCGTACGAAACATGGACTTCGGCAAACTTCACTAACTAGTACAGAATCAAACTCAATGTCTCAGCGAGCGAACATTTTTCGCAGATTGCTAAGAGTTATACTTTCCTTTAAAATTTTCGAAAAAAGTCTTTTATATTCAATGCAGAGGCATTTCTCAATATTGCTGCCGCCGAAGGCGGCTACACTTATGACGTTTAGTCGTTAGTGAAACACTTGTTAAGTTTAATTTTAAAAATCGCAGTCTACTGTGATCTCGTCTCATAGAAAGACAACTGAGCTTGCCGTAAGAGGAGGCAAGGTTTACTAAAGCTTCGTTTCATATTCGATGCAAACCCTATTGTATCTGTAAGATTTGTCGAGGTTACAGACTGTGCGCGAGATTTGCGAGACATATACTGCTTACTAGATCTAGCGGAAGTCACAGATTTTTTGCCAGATTTGCCAAGCCTATGCTGTTTGCTAAATCTGATAGAACCATAGGCTGTCTGGCAAATACAGTGGGAACTACAGACTGACTGCAAAAAATGTAGATATAGGCTGTCAGCAAGATTTGCCAGATCTGATAGAACCGCAGACTGTGTGTTGGATGCAGCAGAAACCGCAGACAGCCTGTAAGTACCGACAGAAGTCAAAGACTACTTGCCAGACTTGCAAGTCATGCATTGTCTGTTAGATATAATGGAACTAAAGACTATTTGGCAGATTTAGCGAAAACCATAGACAGCCTGTCAATTTTGCTAGGTGTGACAGAAGCCATTGACTGTCTGTCTGATTTGCCAGACATATGCTATCTGATATATCTGCTAATCAAGACTGTCTGCTGAATGTGCCAGAAGTTAAAGATTGCTTGAAATATTTGGCAGACAGTTAACCAGAAAATTTCGCAGACATATCGGGAAAAGTGGGAGGGACTAGCCCACCCTATCTCCTCCCACATCGAAAGCCATGGTCAAAAGTATAAAAGTATACACTAATTTGATAATATTCTCCATAAAGGAACTTCACTAAAAGTAAACAACGATGACGAGTTCAAATCTCCTATTGGCTTCTATTAACTATCTACTGAATTCTACTAAAAGTAAGAATCAATATGTTACTTTGAAATTAATGCACACTGATGAACATGTAGCATTCGCCACTGCTGGAAAATCCTAAAACTACGACTAGATGAAAATTGATATAATTTTCAGTGTAAACGCCTTTTTTTTAAGTTGAAAGTATAAGAAAATAATCGTTTTATCCATTCTGTTAGAAATTTCAATACCACTAAGAAACTTCCATGAGTCATTGAATAATAGAGACTACCCGAATGTGGACTACGAGCCTAACTGATATCATGCATTTCAATAAAATTGATCCTGTACGAAGCGCCTGTAATATGTGAAAATATCAATACTTTCAGATTTTTAAACGGTTCCTATACTCAGATGTTTAATTGATAGCAGAATAACCAAAAGGTAAAAAGTGACTATATAGTCATCAGAGTACTCATATATTATATATGCTTGATCACTCTTTTTATTCATCACGCAACCATTCGTATCAAATGTGGGTTGTTGTGAAGCCTGATGTTTTCTAAGTCATAAAAATCTAATAAATTGTCTGAATGCTTTAAGTGGAGCTAAATATTAATTGATCTATTTCAACAAATTGAAATTTTACGCATAATAACTAAGTTAACACCTTGATATCAGTAACAAATAACTTCAATGCCAAAATTACCATTATATAGCTTCAGAAAGGATAACAAAACCTATGAATGACATATATTGAATTTTAAATTGTTAATCTATAGTTTACGATGCATTTTCTTTCTTTGAATAGTTTCATGACTCGAGATGAAGTCGTCTCAGGGATTTCATACTAGTCTGATTTGACATCATTAGATTTTTTTTCAATGAGAAAATACTTAAATAAATACCTATAAAAGGACTATTAGAGATTGGGATAATTTAGCATTGAGAATCATGTCGAAAATTCAAGTCATCGAAAAGCAGTGTTGCATAAGATTTTCTAGAAATAGAAACACGATACAACTTTTTGAGCAGTGTTTTTGAAGTTTGTTTATGAAAACAGAAAGTAGTTACACTTTACATTCATATAAAAAAACATCACGTAAGTCAGTAGAGCTCGATTAATAGTGAAATTATTAAAATATGCTTTGTAAAATAAACCTTCTAAATAACTGTCTAATCGTTCATCTAATTATCTGTGTATCAAACTCTCTATCGTACTATATCCTTACCTAACTGTCGTACCCATATAATCTGTCAATTGACCTTGGCGTTTAAATAATTACCTATAGTGTGAAAGATTAAATTTTGTAAGAAAAAAAGTAAGGGTGTGGCTGCATTTTTTAATGCTCCTTCACATCCATGCCTACGCCCACATCCATCCACATCCCAATGCTAGATTATCTTTTAATTACTAATTTGATCACATAAAATAAAAGATTAATAAAAGCATTGTAATATTCAAATATTAATCTAGCAGTGCTCTGTTAATATCTCAGAAAATCTCTTATCGATTGTATTATACATATATTTATCCAATACTATCTAGCACGAATTGACAACTAATGGACACGTTAAATAGCAGAACTTTTTGTACCATCAATCGATAAAATTGCTTACACAAATGCATTTTAAAAGGTTATAATTTACAATCATTTTTAGCCTTTCTTCAGTCCCTGCTGATTTTATTCAACAGAAACTATATCTATTGTTTTTAATAGAATATTTCTTAAACTCTACTTTGCTAAAGGAAAAACAGGTATTTATAGCCAGAGGAAGAACATTAAATCGTATGCAGGAATTGCTATGGTCATGTAAACCATTTCTTTTCGACCAAATATTTGATTTTACTCAAGATGAACAAAAAGTTAACAAATAAAAAGTTTTCAAGATTTAGACGTAGATATGATATCTATCATGTCAAATATTCTAAGCGTGTTTCCTAAATGTTCTTACTTGTCTTATTAGTGGCGAGTTGAGGACATAAAATAGATACCATATTGTTCAATTGCTTTCTATAATTTTCTTGACTATAGTCGTATTATTTTTATTGTATTTTTTGTGAAACACAATCTAAAAAGAGGATTGAAGTGTATTTGAACAGAAATTTAGACTTCCCTTCTCATAGACGTGACAGACATCTTAAAAGTCCATCACGCACTGTGACAGATAGGTTTCGGATGCGTCATAACCCATGACAGACAGCTGTCGAACACCATGACACAGTGTGACAGACGTGACTGCCCATGTGAAAATTTATCGGATCTAAACGCGTTTTAAAGCGCGTTGTGAATGCCTTCGAAACGCTGTAACAAAACAAGTTTGAAGAAATTTACGATAAAAAAGAATATATTGTACTCGCAGATTCGCGCTGTGGCATCGTCACAACAACGTGACGATCAGCTCTTTCCTAGAGGCATAGTACAGAACAAGTGATTTATTGACTTACGATATATGCGACAAGTGCGATGATGAAGGCTAGAACAGGAGAAGTTATAATTGATGAACAAGCAACTTATGTCTGAGCTATATCTGCTCATCAGAGTGTATTCTTGATGATGATATTTTTGCATTTCTAATTAAGAAAATTAATTTCGAGGCGAAACACAATAGTTTATGAAGTTGTATACAAGGGTCATTTTATGCTGACATTTTTTTTTGTAAAAATTGAACTATACATATCGAACGACATCGAATTAATAACACATATTTTATTCGAACTTATACACTTTTTCAGTTAGTTTTTTCTACATAACTGATCAAAAATTAAATGAAAAGGATTTTTAATAAAAAGTTTCGACTTTCTCGAATATGAAACTAGCACAATATTTTAAAACAGTATCTCTATATATAAGTAATAAAATCTGCAACGTCAAATAAATCAAAAAAATCCTCTGTAGAAATACTATTTTATTACTACGTATTTATCTATAGAATGAGACGAAAAGCCAGAGAAATACTTTTTATCTTCAAAATGAGCATCATAAATTTTTTAGAATTGGACTCATTGACAAATTTTATTAAACCATAAAGAAAAAGACGAATGACATTTTAATTGTAAAACAATAAAACGACGAAGACATTTTATGATGCTCAGAAATTGTAGAAAAAAACCTAATCTTTATTGCCTATTCAACATACTATAATAATCAAAAGCATCAAATAGAGTATATAACGGCATCTTGTTTGACAGTCTCATAAAATAAAAATGTGATAGGTAGACATTTTATTGTTTTTTAGGTATTATTTATATGAGACAAAAAGACAAGAAAGCAGAGAAAAAGAAAGATATTGTTAGTCTTCGAGATAGAATAATTACGAACGTTAATGATTGGATCGATGTTAGCACACTAAGAAGAAAACAAATATAAGATCATAATTAAAAACAAATAAATGAAATTCTACATTTCATTTTGTTCTTGTCTGAGACTTAAACTAAGGGCACTATGTATTTGTATATGGCAACGATGATTTTCATTATATTTGAGTAGAAGGAAAAACGACATGAGTTGCAATATATTCTTTCGATTTGTCTAACGTTATAATATGAATAGCTGATTATTAATATGATTCTACTTAATCTCGTGTTGATTATTGATTAAAACTTAATTTAACGAATTTATATTGATGATATTAGAAATTTTTATATCAAGATATAACTTTTAGTATTATTATTATAGGTACATAACATTCGCTTAGATTTCTCACTGTTATGGTTTCACGATGTTCATTGGATTTGCTTGTTTTCTAATTACGATCTCGTATTTGTTTGTTTTTTTTCGATTCTTTTAAAATCACTCAAATCATTCAAATCGAACGTTCGTAATCTTTCTATCTCGAAGATCAACAATTTGTTTTTTTTTCTTCTCTTCTCTTCTCTCTTTGTCTCATGTGAACAATACGTAAACAAAAATAAAATTTCTACATTTCACATTTTTATTTTATAAGACTAAGTAAAACAAGATGTGTTATATACTCTACTCGATGTTTGTTAAATCAGCTAAGGATGTCATTCTAATTTAGCTGTCAATGAATTGAGTAATTCAAATCATTAGCGTGAATTTTCTCTACGAAAAAAAGAATCAAGTACTCGCACAATGAATGGATAAGCAACAATAGTATCGATTGTTTATTACTATTTTCATGATAGAATAATTTTATGTTGTTGAAAGAGTCTAACATATATAGTGTTATGTGTTTAATAGCATTCGATATCAAACTTATTTCGTGTTTCGAAATGTGTATATATTCAATCATTGCCTCATCAATAATGCTTTCTTTGTTTAATCATGTGGCGCTATCGTTTTTAAGATCTAAAATATCGGCACATTTATGTCTGTCGCCAATCATAAGATAAAATAATGGTTCAATCGAGAAGAAATAAACAGTTAATATAACTTTTTAATCTTTTTTCATGACTGTTTTTCAGTCATTCGAATGCACAGAACAAATCTAGTTTTAAAATATAATACTGATGTTTTTAGATCATGTAACGATTTCAATCGATTCAATGTATCATACTTCAACAACATCATCGTTTCGAGTAATTTTATTATCTAGTATTTATAAGACGTAAACCAAAAGTTTAGGTTTCTTTTGGTTTTGGATAGCCATCAAAATATATTTATATGTGATGGTAAAATTTAACTTTTAACATTTCTAAAGTAATGTTCTATTTAGAATTATATAAAAAATTGAAAGAAGCCCATTATATAAAAACAATTGTTCATATTTCAGGCAGAAAATTGTGTTCACTATGCTTTTAATGAGAGATGTCACAGTTTCATATTGAATTTAGCTTAATCAAACTTTCAGATTTTAATGACAATCGAATTTAAAATAAACGACTCGAACTATCAAATAAAAAAAACATATTGATGGGTATTTACTTATATGATGTTTCAATGTAGATCAGAACATTAGCGTCTATGCAATGATATATAGTAGAAACGCNTCTGATGATAACTATAAAATACAAGTGAAAATTCATGAATTGTTATAATAAATGTATTTACTTTGTTTTAATAAATGTTAAATTCATTACTCCATCCCTTCATTACTGCATTTATTATTTTACAATTATAAGTCTAGAAAAGCCTCTCATTCATTGTCTGTGAAAAAAATTGCAAATGAATTTTTTAGAAATGTGTATTGGAATTAGGGAGTTGTAGTATTTCCTGTTTTTTTAGATTAGATCGAAAGCTTCATCACAGCAAGAGATTTGAATACTTCATTTTAGGACATGAAAATTCATTTGAAATTTATGAGAACCACAGTTCATTTCGGTCAATGGATTCTCATCTACGTTTGTTGATAATAAAAAGAACAAGTAAACAATATCAATATGATTGAAATTCTCGTAAAACGCTGTTACAATCGGATTGTTCCCATCCGGTCGTAAGACGGCGAGAAGATAGCTTTTCTGGTACAGTAATTAATACGTCTGCCTGGTAAGCAGGAGATACATGGTTCGATTCCATGTGAAGAGGATTGTATTTTTCTCCGTTCTGTTGTATTCCATCGCGCTGCATAGTCTCGGTCATGAGTCATAATATCAGGTTCGTAGCAAACGTTTTCATGAATCGATTCACTGACAAACAAACTATTTTAATCCTTTGATGACGGGTGGGTTATTTTTCACCCACCTATTCCTCAGTAGAGAAAAAAGTGTTTAGTTCACATTACACTATTAAATATGTAAGGTCATTAAGGTCATAAACAACTGTATCTGTCGTCTCATACTTTTCTTTTCTTTCTTTCCTTCTCTCATATAAATTCGTTTCAAATATCCTTTGTTCTTGCTGCTAAGGTACAGTGACGTCATAATTTCTCTCTTCTTCTCTGATCTTTTGTTTTTCGAGAATATTCTTATTCTCTGTTGAGTATATATATACTTCCGTTCTCATTGGCGAATTTACGTTGTTCTTGAATTTGCAAAGGATATCATTTTTCCTTCGAACTTGTACTCTTTATTTCTTTATACCGTTGTTACCATCAAAAACTAACCAAATGGAATTCTATGGAAATAATGAAGTCGGCGACGAGTCTTATGATTTAGATACCAGTGATGATTCTAGCGAGAGTGACTTCGATTTCGATTTCGATGAACTAGTCAATAACTTAGATGAGCTTGAGCTTTCTGATGAAGATTTGGATGTATATGAAGAGGAGCTTAATTCAATGAATGAAAGTAATATCGCGGATGGCGGCTTTACCTTAATCTCTTTCAAAGAGCGAATTCCACTTTCAGTCCTTAGAACCTTTTTTACTGAAGAAACTTAAAATCTGATTACTGATCAAACAAACATTTACGGAAAAGGAAAGAAATGAAGTAACAATTAGAAGAAAACTAGTAACTGGAAGGATGTGAGCAAAAAAGATATTGAATCGTTTCTCGGGTTGATTATTCTAATGGGTATCAATAACTTGCCAAATTTGAAACTTTATTGGAGTAAAGATATGGTATTCCATAATACATTTATTTCTTCGATCATGTCAAGAGATCGCTTTCTTCAAATTTTTTATAATTTACATTTGGCAGATAACTCATTGAAACCAAAACGAGAATTTAAAAACTACAGTAAAATTTACAAAGTTAAGAATTTCACTGAAATTTTACGGAGAAATTTTCAAAAAAATTATAACTTTGCCCGCTATGGAACAATCAACGAAAGTATGATAAAATTCAAGAACAGATCAAGTCTCTAGCAATATTTGCCTCTAAAACCAATAAAAAAAGGTTATAAAGTTCGGTGTTTATGTGATCCAATCACTGGTTATTTATTCAACTATCAAATCTATTTACTAAAAGAGGAAACCAGTGGAAAAGAAACACCTTTAGGCGAACGTGTTGTTTTTCATCTTATCTCTGGTCATAATTTCCAAGAGAAACATCTATACTTCAATAAATTTTTCACTTTTCTCAGATTATTAGAAAAGCTAACGCTACAGAAAATAAAACCCTGTGGAACTATTAGACCAGATCGAGCAGATACCCAGTCAGATTTTGCCAAGAAAAATAAAATGGAACGAGGAGATTACAAGTCATTGATTGCATCGAACAGCAGTGTCTTCATATGCACTCTAAAAAAATCGGTTTTTTACCGAACCCCCAAAAAAAGGTTCCGGAGATGTCTAAAAGCGNCACTAAACGGTATAGAATACTTTTAGTGGTGAAAAAAGAACAAATGAAAATTACTGATAGAATATCAATGTTCCACTAAGACGTATTTCATCTAACTTTCGAAAATATGATGCTCTTTGGGCGATGAAATCTGTTGAATCCATTGGTACACATATTGTACTTGTTCGTCTGTATGAGAATCCAATTTTCTTCATTACTCTCCAAAGTGATGTAATACTTTTCACTGGAAAGTTTGGATTGTCGATGAGAATGCGAGTAAGCAATTTGCTTGTATTTGGATATATCTTTTCGGCCAACAGAAGATGAAAATAGTACCTAAACAATCGAGATCAACTATTGAAATGGAAAAGATAAATCATAAGAACTGGCCTTATTAAGTCTTCTTCGTACTCAGTTAAAGAAATTTTTAAATTGGTAGGACCACCACGTTTGGCTGGTGATTTAGCAGCTGGACGAGGCGTATTCGTACTTCTGGACTGGTCAATTGTTGGTATCGTGTAAGGTGAAGATGATCGTCGACGTAAACGCTCGTTTTTATATTTTTGCGCAAGTACAAATGGTCGTTGTTGCTGTTGTTCCTTAAGTAACTGCTGTTCGAGAACTTTTTGTTGCTCTTCTTCTAACTGTTTTAATTCATTTTTCAAATTAACCAGAGAACCATGCGATATTTGAAGTGCAGCCATTATGCGATCATTAGCATTATATAATGGTATGGTTGCTCCATTTTTTTCTCTTTCAATAAATTTAATTACATTGAACATCAATTCTTTTGTTTCTGGACTGTAATGTTGGCCTGTCGGCATTATTGTTTTCAATCTGAAGTAGAAAAATTACAAATCACAGCATTATATATCAAAAAATGAACCAACATTGAACGAAATGATTAGTAAATTTATATACGTATGCGAATAAAAGAAAAAAAAGGGGAGAACATATTCAAATACATTTTTACCATTTCAATTATCTATTCCTACTTCTCTCTCTCTTCCTTCTATCTACTTTTTTCGAACGATGTCGCCAGATTTAAGACTTGTCTTCTTGAACTGTGGAACGAATCTTTTCTTTTCCTTTCTTTTATTTATTTATTTTTCTTTCTTTTCTTACTTCATATCCTTTCTTATAAAATTGTACTCTGTATTGAAGCGATGTTGTCAATCATCTTTCTTTCTTTTTTTATTAGTTTTACTGTGAACCTGTAATGGCACAATAAATTGAATGCAAAAAAAGAAAGCATTATATATCAATATTAAATAATGACTCGTCGCTATCATTGCAACCCATTGCGATCCTCTACAGATGTGTTTCTTCACAGTTCCCTTGTAACTTTATCTTACTTTTTCATTGTCTACATAGGCTGTTTATAGATCTTTTAGTACTGGTTCCAAACAAAACAATAGTAAACACCCACATATTAGGACAGTTGCAAATCAATTCAACTATGATTTGCAAGAAACGAAAACAATATTTGCTTTGCTAGCTCGATGAATTACAACGCTTGTGCAATAGAATCACATTAAGTGTACCTTGTTGAATACATACGAGCACAGTAAAGGTTACCAATAAAACTAACTAAAGATATTGGTTCATTATCATCAAAAACTATACTTTGAGTTTGTTTTAATGTTACTCTAAGTAAAAAACAATACTCTGAAGGTTAATAAATCATGTCATGAAATCAAAAACTACTAAATATTATAGAAGAAAATATTTTTTATTCGCTCAATGTTTGAAAAAAACTGGTCGCTAGCCTTCAGTAAAATCTTTGTATTTTTGGAATANGTTTCTGAAATGAAACAAATTACTCTATGGAAAGCAAAAAAGTTTATTGTCCTTTTACTCTCCTTGGAAGTTTGGATCTAATCTGTTTCTGTATATGAGTTTGCAATATTCTGTAAACTTTCTTATCGAAAAAGGCATCATTCGTCTTCCTGAGTAGTTAGCAGAAATGCAATCGCGCGATAACTTAGTTACTCACTGGAAAACATGTTGCAATCTGAAAAACACACTAGTACAACGTGAAAAGATAGACAACCATTAGGTAAAAAATAATAATGACGAAATTTTTTTTTTCTAATCATCCGGAGGGATAAAGAACGAGTTTCTCAGTGAAAAGATTCACCAAACTATTTGAAACGCATAGGAAGTAATTCTGTTTCTTATACTTTTTTATTTCTAAAAGACAATAACATTGGCAAAGTCTGGAATCAAACAGAACTTCTTGTAGTCGAAACAAGATAAATACTCAGAAAAAAACCAAGAACTACGGCCCCATGAACATCTTGCTTTACCGGCATTAAACTAACCCATTTAGTTTGAAAAACATACGATTTCATATCCTTTGCGCATAACTACTTCGCAGCCGGTTACCATAATAAATACGCAAAAAAATACACTTGTCTTTATTGACTTCGTGCACCGTAATTTCACATTCGACTGAAAATATTATTATACATCTATAATCCTTGGATGTTGATATTGCGAATAGTGTCACCGCTGTCTTTCTTTCTCGTACAGGGGCGGATAGAACAGTGGTCTACGATAAAGGACCACTCGTTATTAGGAGCTGCTTCACTAATAACGACGGGTCAGTTAGTTTTTGTCCATAATAACAACGCTATAAACGCATTTCAAGAAAACACGTAGTTTTTAGAGGATAACCATTTTGTCACGTTTTCTGTCCGGAAAAAGACGGAAGGTTCCGTTAGCAATTTTGATTATCATGCCGAGTTCCATCATAATCTAAAGGTTCATGAGGAACCAGTGTTTACTTGACGAGATGCTTAATTTGAAGGGAATAATTCTAAAATTATTCGAAAAAAATATCCTAATAATGGCATACCCATCAACACTGGTATATGATTCTGCATAAGACAAAAACCAATTTCCATTTTAATAGCCTGATGGGCTCTGATTGTTTCCCACAACTTTATTTTATAACTCGTGATAATTAAGTTTTTAGTGCCTGAGGCCACCCAGTTATTCGTCAAAACGTTTTTTCTTCATTCCATTTGTGACCTTTCAAAATCGATAGAAGAAAATGTGCTGATCACGAATGTCATATTTTTTCATTATTTGTCGCATAAAAAGACACCTTGGGCGTTTTTGAAAGAGCGAAAAATCAATTTTCGGCCTAAAAGATCATTAGCACTCGTATAAGACGCATTGAAAATAGAGTCATTCGATGCATAGTTTTTCGCTCGATCGTTGATAACAATTGTCAACGTCGTCCTTAGATTGACAAGTTTCAGTTAATTTGCATATAAAATACAGCCCATATTGAAGGGATAAATCAACAGCAATTATTCGGAAGCCAATAAGTAAATATGTAACGATTTCGCACAAATGTTTGCAGTGGATAGGATTGCCAGCCAGTGGTTGCGTTTGTAGTCGATCGTGCTTGTGTATGCGCTGGAGCGACATAACGATTTTTCTAGCAGTTTTTGATTCAGAATAGAACAAATAGTGATGAAGAGAATATTGATCGGTAATGGTTTGATTCGATTGATAGTAAATTATTATTGTGGCAGCTCAACAGACATAATTTTGGCTTTGGGTAATTAGTTGTATGTGTAGGTATGAACGTGCGAGTTCGGAACCGTGAGACAAATCGCCACGCAATGGAAGGGGAACACTTCAAAGACATTCTTTTCAAGGATGAATCGACTATTTTGGTCTGTAGTTCGCTGTCTTAACCACTCTCAAGTTGACATGCACTTGGCTATTTATATTAAGCGTCTGAAGTTTCATACGAGCCAACCGAAGGCCGTTGTCTTTCATCCTTTTGAGGAGGCTAAATTCCGCACCAATGTATCACATGCATGTGTGATTGAGCATACAGGTCTCATGTCATGTCGCTTGTGTTCTCGTTGTTGAAAACAAGTGGCAATGCAAGAAAGATGTTGTGTTTGAAAATTGAAATGATTGACTTCAAACAGAGAACTGCGAGGATCATGATCCTGTCGGGGTCGTCAAATGCGACTATTCTTAATAGAAGAAGTCCCAGCACTGATGCAATAACGCTTTATTAGGCTTCTTCGTATCATCAATCCCATCCTTTACACACATAACACACTGTTATATACTCAATCAGCAGAGAGAAAGAGAGCGAGACAGAGATGACTTCCCAGGAGAGCAAAAGACGGGTTAAAAGACTGGTTATTTTTACTAGTCATGACGCCCCGTCAGTCATTAGTCTTTTTCTCAAAACGGCCTAGACATGACTGGTCTGATATTGTTGGGGGTCCGTGTACTGCGTCCCGACTAGCCCACAGACGGGCGTCAATACTTCAATATAGTCTAGTCGTTTTTACTAAAAGGACTAGTCCTGACGATCCGTCATGTCACCCGTCCGATGTATTTAATAATCGAAAAAAATATATATGTATATCAATCATATTGCTAACAAGATGCTACACATTGCATAACTACTGCCCATTCATACCGTCTGAAATCTGTTCTTTTGTTAGTCAGATGTTGGTGTCAGGACTAGTCTAAATTATAGAAGCAAAGTGATGAAGGTCAGATTCGAATATACGTACTTTCTCTTAGATACCTACCCTGGCAAGCAGTTGAACCATATTAGCTGATGGTTCATCAGTAACACATTTAGCTCTTCCTGAGATGCCTTTCACGCATTAATTATCAGAGAAATTCAAAAAACTATTTAATAAGACTTATTAGTTCATGTAGAGTAGATGTCTCTTTCGACTTCGAAAATAAATACAACTATTATATTTTCCTCATCATCGATATTTATCACAAAGTGAAACTTCAATTCAGTCTTAAATCACATATAGATAGCGATACTCGTGCAAATTAAGGAAAAAAGGAATAGATGAAATTTTATTTAGATATAATTCATATGTAGATAGGCATGATCCTGTTAATTTGCGAAAAAAGAAAAAATAATATTTTGTTTAGTTATAATATTTTATCCTTTCTTCTTGTCCTAAATGAACAGTACTATGCCTTTCTATATGTGAATTATATCTAAATAAAATTTTATCTTTTCCATTGTGAATGCGATTAAGAGGAAAGTGTAGCGTTATTTGTCATTTGTTTTCGAATTCATGCTTTACATAAAGTGTTAATTTTTATTCGAAGTCGAAAGAGGCAGTTCATGAATTAGACTAGACTTGACTAGCCCTCAGGATTTCTCAGACTAGTCATGACATATATATCAGAAATATTAGACTAGTCCAGTCTTACCAGTATGTCGCTTTTTAAAATACTGACTAGTCCTGACGCCCACACTCACTATTTTAGACTAGACAGGACGGCGATTGCGGACGTTTTGGACTAGACATGTCGCTAGTACTCTCTTTTTTTTGACTTGCCTGGATTCATGACAAAGCACGCGATACGAGAGACATACGGATATCGTTACAATAATACAATTCACATGAATGAATTAATACCATTTTTACAAACGAAGGCTACCTCGATAAGCTCTCTCTACTGGGATTAATTCTAACACTCTTCAAGCTGCTACTGTTCCCTCGTTGAGATACACTGGACGAAACGGGATGTGCATGAAATGATTGCCTAAACGGTGAATATCGTCGGAAAAATACTTCTAATAAAAAGAGCTCATCGATTTATCGTTTGCGTGTAAAAATCTTATTCATTCATTCATATAAAATGTATTTTCTTGAGACACAACAAAACATTACTTACGACTATAGAACCAAATCGGGTTGGTATCTGGTACTTATCAATTAAAAAAGATTGCTATCTTCAAAATCATATTATAGACTTTGATAGAGAGAGACGTTATGCATTGAGTGACTCTATTTTCAATGCA